GGTTGGATGGTTTAGTTGGGGAAATTTTGACTAAAAAACGCGAACAACTAGCTACTCACAACATTAGCAAAGGATTTGCTAAAACTGCCAGTGAGGATAATCGCAGGGAGGCAATGGAATTGGTGGAAATTAATCAATTACTTTTAGAAATTCGCTATCTAGAAAATGATGGAGATGCTACTACTCTTAGTTCAGTAGACGCAGAAAACACGGCTTTAACCGCCATTGATGACATTATACAAAAGGTCTTTTCTTACAGCGATGATTGTTATTTAGTCCAAGCCTTTAATCATATTGGTTGAAATAAAGATACTAAAAAAAGTGAGGCAGATTTAGCCATTAGTAGAATAAAAGCCGGTAAATATACTGAAAATGGTAAAGAACACGATATCTCTTTTTACGGAGGATTAGAAAAATTTAAGGAGCATTTTGAAAATAAAGAGAAATTAGTGAAATTGAGTGAGTGAGAAAATGAGGCCAAGCAAGCCATTGAAAAAGCCCTTAACGGTGAAAACACAGAGGAAAAACTAACCGATTGACAAAGTAAATTAAAAACTTTAGACCCCACTTTGGATGAAACTCTTATCAATGAAACCTGAAAAACCAAGTGAGGCCAAGTAAAAAAACACGGCAAAATTGCTGAGGTAGAAACCCTGATTAAAAAAGTGATAGGAACAGATGGTAAGGTTAAAACTGAGTTTATTGAGGAAATCAAAAAGTCGGATGCTACTTTAGTAGATTTAAAAACTCTTTTACTAAAAGAACCTAAAGACATTATTACTTATATTGCCCGTTTTGTTTATAACCAATTGGATGATAGTGCTAGCGACGAGAAAAATAAGAAAAAGACCCAAATGAAGCGTCGCATTGCCAAAAAGCTGAATAAAATTAAAGAAAGCGAATTAACTGAACAAGAACTTGATGATAGCCTTTACCAAATAGAAATAGGAGAATTAACCTTGGATAGTAAATATTATAAGTCTGACTTGAGCGAGATTACCAGCCAACCGGAACAGAATGAAGAACCCAAATGATA